ATGTGTCACCGGGAAGAGACTGAGCCGAAGTTTGGCCGCGATGTGTCGAGTGCGGCTATGTCACAATTTCACGAGAAGGCCATCGGGCCCTCTGCTGGTCGCTTAAAATAAGCTTTATTACTTAATTCGTTGAAATTCTCATTTTAATGTGGGAGACTGAAACACTACGTTGCACACTTAAAACAATTTATGGAAGGTGATTTAATTAGTGGAGCTCTAAAACAGAGCTAAGGGGCTCCTGTGGTAGAGAGTAATATTTCACTGTCCGTTGATTTCAATTTTTACAGAGTGAGAGAAGCCCACATTAAAATACGGACTTCTGGCATCGCTGTAAAAGTGGGCTGCGGTGGCATCATTTGTGTATTGACCGTTTACCTTGGGTCGAGTAGCTGTAACGAGACGGTGATTTTCCGTCTTCGTAAGTTTCTCTGCTGTGTTAGGAGTTTCTGTAAACATCGACGGTGTCTTTGAAATGTGACAAGATGCTGGTGATACGGAATAGAAAAACATTGCCATGCAGCTGGGTTTGTAGTGTATTAAGAAGACCACTCTATATAGATACTGTTCTGTGTTGCAGGATAATTCATTTGGTGCCTGATTTTTTTTAACTTAATTAGTTGTTATAATCTAGTCTATTGGGAATAAGATAATGCTGCTTATTCCATGTTTCTACACAGTACTGTAATGGAATGAGGTAATTATTTTCGTGCTTAACAATTCAAGAAATTTAAAAGTGATCTTTCAGTATGTGTATTTTGCGAGCTGTCTGCATGATATTCTGAAGTATCCTCTTAGCAGACCTTTACTTGACCACTTCTATTTATCCCAAGTGCAAAGCAGTTTGCTGTGTAGAAATGTAAAGACAACAGGTGAAGGTGTGTGATGTGTTTTATGACTGCACGAGTGATGTGTACTGTGCATTGTCTTGATTATTATCACAAATCTGTGACAAACAACCCCCTGACACCCTAAAACCCCTGCAAGCCCAGGCGGGGCTTATACAGACTCTGTGACAATGGATAGTTTGTGGGAACGGTATGTGATTTTTGTGTCACTTGTGTCTCTTTAACAAGATCCGCACCAGCCTTTTAAAGTCTTTTACCATAATATAAAGGCCCTGAGGAGATAAATTACTGGGATCAACTGTGGCTCTGACCATGGTTCATGTGTTTAGACCAGTGTTTTCAAACTTGGAGTTGCTCATTAGCCGTGTAAAAGGTGTATGCCTCCTAAAATCAGGCCTGACTATTAGCCCCTGTTGACTTCAGCAGTAGTTGTGGATGTTCTGCACCAAAGAAAATCACGAGACTTTTATTTAAGCATCTAAATGAGAATTTAGATGGTTGACTTCAGGTACAAACGTTTGAAAATTTTGGCCTTAACCTCTCTGTTCTTCAGTTAATGCATCTGTAAAGTTTGATAATAGCGTTGACCTACCTCACAGGCAAGATGTGAGGCTTTATTTATTAAAGTTTTTAAGCAATTGGAGATCCTTGAAGAGGAGGTGCTATAGAAGTGAAAGTATTATTATAAATGATACTGTCGTAAGAATAAATATATGTAAATTAATGGACATAAACAGCAGCGATGTTTTCTAAGAAAAATAAATATATAAAATATGTACGTGTGTACATCATATGCACTGATATATGATTTATCTGTTTGTGCTTCTACTGCAAATGCAGCATGCATATCGGCATTTCTGTTCGATCGGGTGAGCTCCGGTACCCTGCAGTGCGGGCGAGCGCACCCAGCAGTCCCTGCTGTAGCTCCGTCTCACGTAGACGTGCCGAAGCGAGCTCCGAGCGCTGGCGAAGCTCAGCCGGCGCTCGCTGCGTAGCTCTGGCTTGGCTTTGCTCCTGCCAGCTTTCTGGCTGCAGCGAGCCGCTTGGATATCGCGGACGCGCTGCCAGCACGGCCTGGGCGAGCTCGCTCGCACCGACTTGGGTACGTTCACAGGAGCTCAGGCGCAGCGGAAGCTACGACGCAGCTATGCCCTGAAATACTGATCATAGTAAGAAATGTGTTCTCTTTCTTTTCTTTCCACATCACAGTTTTATTCTTGCTTTTTCTCTGTAAACAGTATTTGCCATTTTGACTAAGCCAGTGGTTTCAGCTGGGATCCATGGACTACTTCTAAGGGATCTGCGAAAGGTAAGTAAGAAAAGCAAATTGATCATCAGAAGCTTAAATTTGTTACATAAGGATCAACTTGAAAATGTTTAGAGGTTGGCACATTACGAAAAGTTGAAGATCACAGGCCTAAATAGGGGTTTTGGGCTTATTCACAATTGGACAATCATATTGCATATCGGGTTCCTACCCATATATTTGAAAATAGTTCAGAGCCAAACTAAAATGGACAGTCAGACCATATGCCAAGTCCTTCTCTCTGCTTATGCAAATTTTGGGAAACTCCACTGGTTTCAGGAGCATTAGTCTGGATCCACATCACAGTACCAGTCAGAAAAAATCATGCGTTGTATACACCTCTGGCTACTGTAGAATCCCAGTATTATGTTTGTATTTTGGGTTCCTTTGAGTGTACAGATTGCTTGTCCAAAGCCAAACCTTGCTCAAGTTTTGGTAAGAAAAAAAGTTAAGTAAAACACAATACGAGAAAATCCATGTGGCTGGTAGTGTCTGATTATTGTAACTATTTCAGCCAGAACGCTTGTGTTTTCTAGTTGTTTAAAAACACAGAGAGATATGCGGCTGAAGGGGTGTGTGTCGGTTACGCTGTCCACACATCTTGCAGAGAAGAACGGTGCTTTGGGGCACTCCGTGGGAAAGCTGAGAAGGCGGGGTATACCACAACACCGTGGGGAAAATCATGGGAAATACAAGCTGCTGGCTTTTTTTTTTTTTCCTTGCACTCCTCTTTTTTTGCTGCGCAGCATTTCTCTGTGTTACACAGTCTGGGGCACAAGCAGCTACAGCCAAGAAATGGAAGCACCAGGAAGGTAAACACAGGCCTGAAGCTTTCTCAGGCATTTTTTGACCTCTGAGATCACAGGCTGCGTGAACTCTGAAAGGTCTGTGGTTTCCAGTTGTGCCAAAAGATCTTAAATTTTTTGTGGCGTTAATCCCCTAGTCCTCTACCTGCGTGGAGCGTCCTGGGCTCCAGACCGGCAGTTTAGATTGGATGCTGAGTTCATGATTTGAAACAGGCTGCCAGACATCAGAGGTATCAGTCCGAGAGAGGGGAGAAAAAAGCAGATAGGAGGGCAGAACCCAGCTTGCCAACACAGAACCTGGTGGGTAGTCGCGTACTGCGAAATGTTCTCTGCCATCTTACCTGGGAGAGGTGGCTACCACCTCTGCTGGAGGAAAGTTCTTGCTGGAGCTAACTGCAGGCACAGGGTAAAGCTCAGTACATGCTGTTTGTGGGGAGCTTCTGCCGTTTGTGATGTGTGGGGCTGAGTTGGGACAATCACTACTGCATCACAACTTCACTGCTTTTGTGTTGCCCTGCTTAATAACTTGTGCTCAATAATTCATTTTTTAAAGCACCGCTATGTTTTTAACACATATAATGTACCTTCAGTGCCACAGTGTAGAAACTTTTATTTCTGCTCTCTCCTTTGACAGCATCTCTGGTAAATACTACAGCTGCAGGGTAGAAATTATCTTCCTTTCTGTATCACTAGCCCACAAGGAGTAAATAATCATATAATGTTAATTTACATAACAGCAGGTATTCATCTTTTGAAGGACAGGTTTGACAGAAAAACACTTGAGTATTTCATAAAAGCACGGGAGGAATAAAAACCTCGATTGTCTCGCTGGGTTGGTTAAAGGCTGGCGCTCGGAGGGGCGCTTGTACTCCTTTCTCATGCGAAAAGCAACGTAGCAGTTACTCGCGTATTTGCGATCATTAGAAATGTACCACAAAGCCAAAGGATAAAAAAGTAGCTAACAGCAGTTGGTACTGAGTCATACGTCCCTGCAAGGTACGTCCCTGACCTGAATTTGCAAAAGTGACTGGGAGTTGGGGTCTGATCTGTTTTTGTCTGGATTGAGACACCGTTTTGCAGGCTCATTTTGAAAATCAGGCTCAACAGTAGCAGTGTGGGCTGAGAACCAGAAAGACAGTCTTACTTTGAAAAGCGAGTTTCTGTCCGCGGTTATACTTCAGAGAACAGAGAAGGATAAACTTCCCTTATTTTTTCTTTGCACTGTAAAAATCCATGATTAAAATACGGTGGATTAGAAGTGCATATGGAAATACTGTTGCTCTGTACCTTAATGCTCTTCTTTTGTAGCTTAAACTACCATCCACGGGGATTCAGGTTTGCTTTCGAGGCTTACGTCCCGAAGTAGCTTGTTGTGTGTAACACTTTGTATAAAATGTCTTCTGCAAATGATGGGAGAGGCAGTTGGCTTCGTGCAGGTGGTTACCACAGATGGACGAATACAGGTGTCGTTGTAGGATTCATGTGGATTTTCAGTTGAAATCTCGTGGGCAGTTTCACTGGAGTGGGCGAACTGTCCCAACTGGCCAAGGCTGCTGGCTGTGCAAGCAGGCAAAACCCTGCTGAATGAGAGTTTGGGGAGCGTGTGAACCACAAGCTTCTCTGGAAAACGGCGTGCCGTCGTGTAATCGGACCCGGTGCTGAAAACCTTTACTTAGGGGAATAGTTGTGAATCCCCCGCAGTGCTGCTGCAGCTCCCTCTCTCCTCTTCACGCCTGACAGTCCAGTCTCTTTCCCATTAGTGTGTTCTGTCTATTGGTGAAAATCTGAAAACCAAGCAGCTGCTGAAGAAGACTATTTAAATATGACTGTGTACATCGTTCAGAGGAATGGTTATGAATCATCTCTGACCTGCAAGCTTGAGCACAAACACTGCATTTGACGTTGATCCAGCGTGAAGTATGTTTGTGGACATGCCATGGAGTGCCTAATATTTCTTGGAAATCAAAGCGCAGGAGAATTGTTTGCCTACCTTTGTCAGAGCCCTTGGTGCGCACTGAAATCCTCCTGAGCTCAGCGGTCCTTCTCCCTGCGCGACGGACGTTTTGTGGATGTAACGCCCCTGTCTGTTCCGCTGCTCTGGGGAATACGCTTCATCTCACGGGAAGTTAGGCAATGTTGTTAGCGTGTTACAGTGCCGAAGAAAACGTCCATCCTTGGTTGTATTATGGTCTGCTCATTGAAAGCACATCAGGGGTGGCTCCCTGGCAGTTGCCCCTTGGTGCAAGATGTTCACACAAACGGTACAAATGTTCCCTGCGTGTTACAAATGGGCCATGGGTCTTTCATGGCTACGATTTCTGATGTTTCTGAGAGGTGTTTAAATTTGGTGGCTCACTTCTATTAAAGCCCTGCAACTTACCCAGCTTCTACATTTGATCCAGCTGCACGTAGAAATGGAGATACAGGGAAGAAATGCCCGAACCGCATTAACAAAATGCGGTTTCCATCACGGGGGACACACATAGTCATGCTAGATGTGTTCAGCTACATGGTTCTTTGATCATGCAGTGTAAAATACTGCTGCTGCTGTGACGGG